TGAAATTCTGCGCACGGCCTTCGCCCCCGACCATTTTTCTCGTGACAATGTATTCTCCAGCCTAGTATAAACAAACCATAGTATACAACTATTTCACAGATCTTTCTCTTTACGGATGGCTTATTTATTTTTGATATTTTATTTCAAAAATAGTTACATTTTAAATGAATATTTTGACAAAAACGACGTAGTACACCATGAGTCCTTTACAATTTACTTTGAAAAAAAAATGGAATCTGAAAATAAATCCCGAAGAGATAATATTATTTCTGACAGACCCAACTAGATTGCCGATTTAGTTTTTCATATAATTTTTTGGGAAGACAAATCGAGTGAGACAAGTAGACAATCATTGTTGAAAGTAAGCAAACGCCGCTGATGGGTGTAATTGTGTGAAAGGAGAGCTCTTAACAGATGTCTCCATCTGAAATAATCTACTTACGGACGTTGCTGACGCCAAAAATAGGCGTGCAAGACCACACCACGGCGTAGTTTTCGTAGTCTGTTTCCAGCACCCAGTAGTCAGCTTCGAAGTTCCCTGCGAACGAGGCGGATGCAGATTGTGAGAAACGTTTGTCAATTAAAAAGAGATATTATTAATATTAATTTATGCAAATTTAACTTAATAAATTTAATTTCCATAACTTAACGTCATGGAATATAAGATGTCGCGGTTCTGTACGTGAACATACTTCTTCTGGCACTGCGAACTGACAGGGCCCTCAATCACCACAACCTATATTACTTTTTATTTATTTATCGTCAAAAATTGAATAAAAGTGTGTGTGACGTGGATGAGAATTGGAATCTGTGTAGATTTCTTAATGCGCTGCGTACAGCGTCTGCCCTCTGTCACTACAGCTTATTATATTTTAAATTTTTTTACGCCAAAAATAGCCAAAAATTGTGAGTGACATATGGGTGAGTAGTACAATATGTGTGTTTTCTTGAGCTCCGGAGTCCTTTGCTTGCTGGCACGAGGGTTCTGGAGAGGCGCGGCGTGGAGGCAGCTTCCTGGGTCACTCACCCATGGACGGGAAGGTCACCTTCAGCTTGCCCTCGGTGCCGTCGCCCGCCAGCCGCGCGAAGCCGCTGATGCTCGTCTTGCGCCCCGACCTGCGCAACACACGGCAGGTGCACTAGGCGTTTGTTTCTCTCGCTCTCGCACATGCATTTACTCACTTATCTACACACACACAC